ACTGATCTTAGAGTGAACCCTTGAAAGCTCGCGAGATCAGGATGGTCTCACGAGGCTTCTAAATAAGACAATCTTCATCAGCGCAAACTGAGTGTTTGCATAACTCGGCAGAGCACACCGTCCATTAAGACTGTCCAGTCTTCCACTATGGGGGTCATGGATGGAACAGTTCCAAGATGAAAAAACCAGGAACAGGGTATAAAAAGTTTTTGGGATTTTCTCTTCCTAGCTTAGTTTTATTTAGTTCTTCTCTAAATCAGTTAGATCTAACCTGTTTTTAGAATTGGTTGGCTTGTTTTATTAGATTCTTTATTTTCATTAGTTGTGGTTCTACTTGTATTTTTTTTATCTTTTTCAATACTATGGATCATTTTCAGGCAAAGGATTAAAAAGGTATTTTCTATAAAAGTAATGAATCAGTTTGCAAACGTTATATATACACATCTATATATAACATCTATCATTATATATATGATATATGTATACATCTATCATTTTCGTGTTTTACCAAGTTTAATAAACACAAAGCACAGTTTCAGTTAGTTACAGCCTTTTAGCTTTAAATACAATTTTGTTTATTTCGGTTAACAAATGTTTTTCCTTTTGAGTGGTTGTTAGTTTTTTTTTGTAGTTTTAGTTAACTATAAATACCCAGACACCCATTGAAATAGTCTTGCAGTTTGAAGAAATTCTGTGAGAAAAATTAAAGGTCCAGAAAATCAGAGGTCTGCCCCAGGATATCCTCTGAGTGGGAGATGCATGGAAAACCTCTCAAAGCAGGCGTCCAGGAGGCATCTTAACCTGATCCCTGAATCACCTCAGATGAGTCATTTTGATGCTGAGGAGGAGCTGTTCTACTCACAGCCCAGACTGGATGATTGGAACCCCGACTCCATATATCTTCACTATAGAAAAACCCTCTTCAGTTACCTGTATTCAGAATCTAGTTATTTTAGTCATGACCTGACCGTAGGTGAGGGTCAGAACAGAGACAGACTGGAAAATGGAGACCTTTGTTTTCTTTTTAGCTTGGCTCTTTCTTCATCAGATAGACTAAAGCAATGAATCCGTCTTCCAATCTTCCATTTCATCGCTCCAACACTTATGGAAAGGACAGCAAGATCCCTGCGGTCATCTGCTTGATGAAGACTGAACAGTCCACCTCCACCTCTCTCTGTGCTCCATCGCCAACAA